GAAGCGAACCTACGACCGCATCGCGATGAAGCCGGAAGATGACAAGAAGCGCGCACGAATCATGAGCATGTTGCGCAAAGGGCATTCGACTAGGAAAATAGCCAAAGTTTTGGGCATAGGCAAGAGCACCGTGCACGATTACGGTCTGAAGGCGATTGCTGAGACTAGTCGCGATAAGGTGCGACCCACGATGCCCACGGCTGGCCGCCTCCGCTTAATCACAACCCGACTCCAACGCGGAATAATCCGAGCGATTACAAGCGAGGAGGCGAAAAACAGTGTAGACGCCGCAAAGATGTTAAAGGAGAAGCACGCTCTGGCTGTAGACTCGAAGGCGTCAGGAACTCGTTACGATCCGTGGGCTTGATCGCTGTGCAGCAGCCCAAGAAACCCAGGCTCTCACCGAAAAACATACGTGATCGGCTCGATTTCGCGAGGTCGCATGCCGACTGGACGCTAGAGGACTGGAAGCGGGTGATTTGGTCTGATGAGACTAAGATAAACCATTTCTTCTTCGACGGACGTGCGTACGCCTGGATTCGCGAGGGCACCAGCCTCCAGAGCCATCAAGTCCAACAGACAGTTAAGCATGCGGGCAGTTCTGTGATGGTGTGGGGTTGCAAGTCGTATGAGGGGGCGGGGTTCATGTGCAGATAGATGGCAGGATGGATGGGACGCTGTATCGCAGCATCTTGCAAGATGAGCTCTCACAGACCATCGACTTTTTCAAGCTCCCCCCCTCAGAGATCATTTTCCAGCACGACAATGATCCCAAGCACAAGTCCCATCTGGTGCAAGACTGGCTCGGGGAGCAGGAGTACGCGGTGCTGGAATGGCCCTCGTCCTCCCCCAACCTTAACCCGATAGAGCACCTGTGGGCACACTTGAAAAGGCAGCTTGCCATGAACGAAAAACCACCTCGTGGAATGCTGGAGCTTTGGGAGAGGGTGTAGGAGGAATGGGACAAGATACCGGCGGAGGTGTGTTCAAACCTTATCGACAGTATGCCGAGGAGGATCAAGGCAGTGATTCGTGCAAAGGGACACTGGACTAGGTACTAGCTTTTCATGATTCTAGTTTGATGCCTATCCTCGGTACAAATTGTCCGGATGTGCTCTTATGGTATGCTTAGGTGTATGCACACCATAAATTAAGGCTTAATGTTTACGCCGCTGCACACATCAAAATGCAAAATAAGACTAAACATCCGGACAATTTTTTCCGTCACTTTATATAGCGGTAGTCGTTGCCGCTGATATCTTATGCTTTCTGCGGCATGAAGAGTATGTCGCTGAAAACAACATCCATAGGTTAGTACTTAGTAGCACTTGGAAAGTGCGACGGGAATGGAGCGTGACTAAGGTGAGCTCCGGGGCAGATGGTGCAGGGTAGTTGATGACTGTTAGGTCCAAGCTCTTGGTCGTTGGTTAAAAGGAGTGCGTCCTTGTCAAAAACCGAGGCTTGAATGGAGTTGTTGAGAGCCTCTTGCAAGAATGATCTAACCGCTTGTGCCAAATTTCTGCTGTAGTCATGTGTCCCTTTGAACGCAAGTACAAGTCGGAGTAAAGGAAGAAGGTCGGCGAAACATGGATCGTTGGCGCAGGGTTAACGCAACGGCCGGTGCCGAAAGGCAGGATGAATCCGGCTTGTTCTGCAGTTTCAACCCAAGGTATGCCGAGATGTCGGCGATGCGCCAAGCATCAGGTACAATTAGTTATTTCTTGCCTCATGTGCGTTCAACCTCCATAGGTTCTTCGACTGTAGCAGATGTTGGTTCTTGATTGTCGTAACCCCAATTTCCATCTCGAGATGCCCATGTACTTTGAACTGTTTCTGCTACTGCTGATGCTGCTTCTGTTGGCTCTGCCGCAGGTTCGTCGAGGGAGTTGGTTGGAGAAGGCTGAGGCGGAATGCAGAATACATTGAGACCATGATGGTCTTGGCATTGGAGATCTGTCTCCCAGATATGATGCCAAGGAGCAAGTGAGACATTCTTCTCAGTATTGCTGGATGCTTTCACAGATGAAAATCGTAAAACGGAAACGTCGTCTTTAATTTCTGCGATGCCGACTAAATTGCTTATGTCTTCCTTCTTGTCGCCCAGGTACAATAACGTGAGCATCGTGTCGGCGGTGCTGACAAAACATATGCCGTTTTCCATCAGCTGAGATTGTGACAGTAAGTCAGACTTCTGTCTCGTCGGACCCGAGTATCACATCTCTGAATCTAGTTACTTCAATAATTTGATTGTTGGCAACCGTTATGTTGTATTCCTCTCCTTTTGGCAGGTCTCGCCAGATGAGAAGATATTGACTTGAAGATGCCATGTGGTGACCGCAGCATGTGTCAAGAAACCAAGTATTAACGTGTTTGGAATACGTACGCTTGGCGATGTGGGCGTACGGCTGTACATTTAACCATCGAGGAAACCCGTTCGGCTGCTCTGGTTCTTCTTCATTAATGACTACTATTTCTGGAGTATCTGAACAAGGACGAAGATGTGGAGGTGGGTTAGCTGCTCCTTCTTCCATGTCACTGTCGCTGTCATTGTCTCGTCGGCTCCAGTAGCGTATACCACTATACCAGTGTGGTCCAAAAATGCAGTTAATGATCCTGGTGAATCCGTGTATCTGTGAGCTCCACTATATCAGACAACTTCTTAATCCATCTCCAGCACTGCTCCTACTTCCCATTGCTGCCGAGCCCATTGACGTTGAGCCCACATAAACAAAAACCATTCCGTGTGCTAATTTTCCCACTACCTACGGCCCCTTGTATATCCACAGGCCGAGGGAGAAAATCATGGTGCTGCAACATCCATCACTCTTTTCATATAAAATACTGTAGATACATGATGCCTCCAACCAATTACAGGGCGACCGTTTACCGAGGTGGATACCACTACTTCAGGGGCCCAGTTGCTGCCTGTTAATCACTCCTGATGCACCCTCCTTATTCAGCCGGGTTTGGTTGATCGCATGTTTCGGTACAATAAGTAGTAGGCTCGTTAACTACCAATACTAAGCGTTTTACTGATCGTTGGAACTCCTCTGCCCATGATTCCGCTTCTTCGGCTCCTCTGGGCATTTTGACTTGCGGTGTCCCGGCCCTGACACCTAAAACAACGACCCTTGAAGGCTGTAACTGCTGTGTTTGAGGTTGTAACATCATGTATAGTGACATGCTCGCTTGGTCCCCGAGTGTCTGATACCATGTTAAAGTAGCTCTAGGTTAGGATACTAGGCAGGAACAAGGCCGCCATGAATGTGGCGGCGGGGTTTAGCTAGGAGCTGGACGAGAGTGTCGAGAGAGAAGGGGATTGGATTAGAAAGAGAGGGGAGTACAAGGAGGGGTTTGTATTAGAAATTGAAGTGAACGATTGTTAGAGAGAGGGTACACACAGATATACCTAAGTGTTGTACCCTCTAAGAGGCTACCCTATACAGTCTATACAAACATGACAAATACACATGTTTGACACACCCCCTAGACTGCATAAAGGAGCCTCTTAGAGGGTACAACACTTAGGTATATCTGTGTGTACCCTCTCTCTAACAATCATTCACTTCAATTTCTAATATGATATCAGAGCAGGTGACCGTTTGTGGGCCTGCTCCCCACGCTTCCGCCGCGTGCTTTAATCGTCCGTGCCTGTGCCGCCGTCGTGGCCCCTTATTTTCCTGCCGCCGTGGCGGCCACTTGTTGTTGTGCCGCCGTGGCGGCCTCCCGCTTTTGTGCCGCCGTCGCGGCTTCTTGTCTTCGTGCCGCTAAGATGGCCGTTGCGAGATGCCGCCGCGGGCTCGTGGTCCTGCCATCGCCCGTCCGCCTCGTCGCCGCTGCATCAGCGTCGCCGCCCTCCCGCCAGTAAGCGTCGCGCCATTTATGGCGCGTCGCTGAAGATTCGTCCCTCCCCCCCCCCCCCCCGCCTCCCCCTCCTTCCCCTGCATCCCCCACCTCCTTGCTGCAGCCGACGACTGCCTCATGAGGGCCCTCCCCACCGCCGAGGGGAATGGACATGCCGCCGAGAGGGCGGGGACCGCTGCACCAGCCTCTGACGTTCAAGCCGCCGCTGCCGCCGCTGTTGCCGCAGGCCGGGCGCCGCCGCACGCGGCCGCCGCCGCCGCTGTCGTCACTGTCGCTGCTGCCGCCATAGCCATCCCGCGGGCCGTGGGATCTGCCCACTTCCGGAGTCGTTTCGGTTCCTGCTGGGAATGGGGGTGCTGGGCTAGGGGGTGTGGGTGTGTGTGTGTGGGTGTGGGGGTGTGAATGGGCTTGACGCTACCAAGCCTAGGGGGTGTGTTCAAATTATATAAGTTATAATTTAATATAGGCTTGGTAGGTTGTTACTGAACCTTTCTGTAGGGAGTATAAACCCCTTTTTGTACTCCCCTCTCTTTCTAATCCAATCCCCTTCTCTCTCGACACTCTCGTCCAGCTCCTAGCTAAACCCCGCCGCCACATTCATGGCGGCCTTGTTCCTGCCTAGTATCCTAGCCTAGAGCTACTTTAACAGATTTCTGTCAAACCCGCCATTGGTTTGTAGAACAAATCCAACCGCCCCACAACACTCTGCGCCTCCACTAAATCTGTAAATTCCCAGGTTTGCGGGGAGATGACGCAATCGCCTTAGGGTTGCGGAGCTTTTTTATATATAGATATATTAATTCTGTTTAAACTTACATGCTTAAGCTAGTTATCAAACTTCAAAGCGTAAGTATCTATTAACATATAACAATGGATTAAAAAATACAATATATAAGTAGTCAATACACAGTTTGTGTCATACTGCATTAATAAAAGTGCATAAAATCACAATGACTTTGTACATATAGTTATACTATATAAGTATTTGCTTGAAGTTACTCGTCTTCAGTTACTGTTCTAAAATCGTGCCACGCTTGTTGGTTACTATTTGAATTGGTTTCTTTTGTTGTTCATTTCTGCCTGTACAGGTTTTCTTGAATAGTTTTATTGCTCCATATTGTTCAACTGTAGCCCAGTTTCCGTAATGTGTCTTCTGTTTTGTGAGCGTTTGGATTGTTTTTTCACCTTTCCGCCAAATGCCCGGCTGTCGGGAGTTTCCGTTTTCATTTTGTTTGATTATGTGTTGACTGTTGCCACTGTTGACTTGTGGCGAGCGAATCTGGCCACCTGGCAATGCTGTTATTTTTTGCCCAGTGGTGAGGCTCATCACGCGTAACTGCCAGACGGAAATAAAATCCGACGTGGCAATGACACCAGCCTAGCTAAACTCGACTTAGAATGCTGATATTTTTTCCCGTCAATATGAAGTAAAACCCCCGAGCTCGCCACTGGATGCATTACGCGTTACACACTCGAATTTCGAAGTTACAGTACCGATAGTTTTGGTTAAATAACACTATTACGCGAATTTCAGTGCGATGGGGCATTTTCTGACCGAGAGAAACAATTTTCTTTCAGAGTTGCAAAACCTGTTTGAACGCAGCTGCTCCGCCCGAGGGGTTGAAAATAATAATACTGTAATAATAATAATAATAATAATAATAATAATCATAATAATAATAATAATAGTAATAATAATAATAATAATAATTATTATTATTATAATAACAATAATAATAACAATAATAATCTTTCAAAGCTGCAGAAACGTGACTGCCTTATGCTCTTTTCTTCCTCATCAATACTTCATTCTCTCGTTATTCCTTTCCCCACTTCCAGCAATCTGTAATAGGAGAACTCATGATTAGACAACAACGTGAAAGCAGCTACAAATGTATTTTCTTAGCGCAGCTGTATGATAGAGTACTCCAGGTCGGTATAAATAGTGGCTTATGTCAAACATGTGTATTTATCATGTTTGTATAGACTGTATAGGGTCACCTTCTAGAGAGTACAACATTTAGGTATATGTTTGTGTACTCTCTCTCTCACATTATTCAATTCTAGGTTTGATATGGTATCACGAGTAGGTTTCGACCCCCCCCCCCCCCCTCCCCCACCTACCGCTTCCGCTCCTCCCGTCGCGTCTCCTAGCCTCGCCTCGCCCCTCCTGAGCCCAGTCGCGACCCCTCCCTCTAGCCCCGTCGCGCCCCTTCCAGGGCCTCGTAGCGCCCCTCCAGCCCCCGTCGCGCCCCCCTTCCAGGGCTTCGTAACGCCCCTCCAGGCCCCCGTCGCGCCCCTCCAGGGCTCTGTAGCGCCCCTCCAGGGCCCCGTCGCGCCCCCTAGCGCCCCTCCTGGGCCCCGTAGCGCCCCTCCAGGGCCCCGTCGCGCCCCTTCGCGCCCCTCCTGGGCCCCGTAGCGCCCCTCCAGGGCCCCGTCGCGCCCCTTAGCGCCCCTCCTGGGCCCCGTCGCGCTCCTCACAGGCCCCGTAGCGCCCCGTAGCGCCCCTCCTGGGCCTCGTCGCGCCCCTCCTGGGCTTCGTAGCGCCCCTCCTGGGCTTCGTAACGCCCCTCCCAGGCCCCGTCGCGCCCCTCCTGGGCTCCGTAGCGCCCCTACTGGGACCCGTCGCGCCCTCCCAGGGCCCTGTAGCGCCCCTCCTGGGCCCCGTCGTGCCCCTCCCAGGCCCCGTCGCGCCCCTCCTGGGCCCGTAGTGCCCCTCCTGGGCCCGTAGCGCCCCTCCTGGGCCCCCATTGCGACCCTCCTGGGCCCCGCCGCGCCCCTCCTGGGCCCCCATTGCGCCCCTCCTAAGCCCGTAGCGCCCCCCCTGGGCCTGTTGCGCCCCTCCTGGGCCCTGCCGCGCTCCTCCCTGGGCCCCGTATCCACCCTCCTGGGCCTCGTCGCCCCTGCTCGGCCCCGTCGCCCCAGCTCGGCCCTGTCGCGGCCTCTCGGCCCCGTGGCGCCCGCCCTGCCCCTGTCGCAGCTGCCCGGCCCCTGTCGCACCTGCCCGGCCCCGTCGCGCCCGCCCGGCCCCATCGCCCCCGCTCGGCCCTGCTGTGTCCTGCCCGGCCCCGTCGCTGCCGCCCGGCCCTGTCGCTGCCGCCCGGCCTCGAAGCTGCCGCCCGGCCCTGTCGCTGCCGCCCGGCCTCGTAGCTGCCGCCCGGCCTTGTCGCTGCCGCCCGGCCCCGTCGCAGCCGCCCGGCCCCGTCGCAGCCGCCCGGCCCCGTCGCAGCCGCCCGGCCCCGTCGCAGCCGCCCGGCCTCGTCGCTGCCGCCCGGCCCCGTCGCAGCCGCCCGGCCCCTCGTCGCGCCTGCCCGGCCCCGTCGCGCCTGCCCGGCCTCGACGTGCCTGCCCGGCCCCGTCGCGCCTGCCCGGCCCCGTCGCGCCTGCCCCGGCCCTCCATACTTCCTGGTACTGTCCCCCGTTCCCCGCACCACTTTGCACCCTCCTGCACTTTCCTGCCCCGCCTTGCACCGCATTGCACCTCACTGAACCGCACTGACCGCACTGAACCGCACTGCATCGCACTGCACCGCACTGGACCGCACTGCACCGCCCTGCACCGCACTGCACAGCACTACACCGCACTCCACTGTCCTCCACTGCCCCTCATGGCTGCTGAGCTTCGTTTTGATGCTGAGGGTCAGCCTCTGGAGTTCGAGGCGTGGTTGGCTGACCTTCGCCGCCACCTCACTGGTCAGCGGCAGGACGGCCACCCGCTTTCTGCACACCTAGACGGTATGCTCCCCTGCCCTGACCCCCCTGCTGTGCTGCCTGCTGATCCCACGCCCGCTGAGCGCGAGTCCACTGCCGCCGCTGCCCTTGCCCGCTCTGTCTGGCTTTCCCGCGATGCCCTTGCTCAGCTCGCCATTAGCAATGCCCTCCCCCCCCTTGAGCGCCCTCGCTTTAGAACCATTACTACCGCCCAGGCCTACCTCGATGCTGTCATCAAGCGCTATTCTACCCCTCCTGCTGCCTCAGTGGGTCGCCTGATCCTCCCCCTGCTCTTTCCTGACCTGGCGTCCTTCCCCACTGTCTCTGACCTCGCTGCCCACCTGCGCTCGATAGATGAGGCCTGGCGCGCTGCCTGCACTGATGCACAGCTTAGAGTCCACCAGCCTCCCATGACCTCTACCCTCTACCTCCTTGCCACCCGCCTCCCTGACCGCCTTGCCGCCGCCCGCGACCAGTTCCTTAGCATCCACCCTGCTGCTCTCACCCTCACCGACTTTGTTGACACCCTGACTGCCATAGAGACTCGTCACCGCTCCATAGCCCAGGCGAGCGGTACAGTACCGGTCCCTATCTTTCAGGGTTGTGCCCCCGCTCAGTGTACCTTCTCCGACGGCTCTGTCGCTGTGGCTGAGACTGCTGCTGCAGTGCAGTCCCGCTCGGGGAAGGGCCGCCGCCCCAAGGTTGGTAGCGGCGGAGGTGGCGGGGGTGCGGGTGGGGGTAGTGGTGGAGGCGGGTCGTCCGGTGCCGGTGCGGACGTGGGGACCCTGCCCGGTCCAGCTGCCCCGCTGCCTCCACCGTTGCAGCAGCCGCAGCAGCAGCAGCCTCCGCAGCAGCCGCAGCAGCCGCCGCAGACGAAGTCGGCGACTGCTCTCCCGCCTGGGTGGCCTGGAGCTGGTGGTGGTCGTGCGCGTGGTGGTGCACCGGGTGGTGGTTCTGGAGGCGGGCCCTGTCAGTACCAGATCCAGACCGGTCCTCGCCGCGGCTTCGTTTGCGGTAAGATCGGTCATTCCACTCCTCGCTGTTTTCGTCGTCTGGACGACCTGTTCCGCCAGCGCTTTGGCCCGGCGCCCGACCTCCCGGACTGGCACAGCTTGCTTAGGCGTAGCATTCGGATTTTTGACTTGGACATGGATGCCATTGTAGCAGCCTTGCATGTGATGTATGCCGATGACTCTAGTGTGCTTCCCTCTTATTACCCCGTGTTGCCTAGTGAAGCTGTGCCTAACGTAGACTCCCCTGCTGCGTCAGGCGTAGGATCTCCTACTTTGCTTAGCCTCGGTGCTTCCACCGCTTCACTGTCGCCCCGCGCGACTGCTGCGCTTTCCTTTACCTTGGACTCTGGCGCCTCCCGGTGTTTCTTCCGCGACTCCACGACGCTGACGCCGCTGCCTGTTCCTGCTGCAGTTACTCTTGCTGACCCCTCCGATGGTCCCGTCTTTGCCCGCAGTTCCACCTCCCTTCCCTGTCCGGCGGTTCCTTCAGGTTCGCTCACCGGTCTGCATATCCCCTCGTTCTCCAGGAACCTAGTTGGTGTCGGCTGCCTCCAGGACCTTGGCGTCACCACTACGTTCCCTGGTCACGAGCGGTATGCTGTCTGTACCGAGGCCGCCACTGGTGCCCCCCTTACCACTTTCCCCCGGGACCCGGTGTCCGGCCTGTTCACACTTGACACCGCGACGTCCCCGGCTGGGTCTTCCCCCCAGGTAGCTGCGTCCACCCAGGTTGCAGCTGCGTGCTCCTGTCGGTCCCTCACTCATCCGACTCTCCTTTGGCACCACCGCCTTGGTCACCCTGCACTCCCGCGTCTGCGTCACATGTCCCAGCACGGTCTCGTCCTTGGTCTCCCCGGTTCGTTCCCTGAGTTTCCCTCATCCCCCGCCCCACCGTGCACGCCTTGTGTCGAGGGCCGGCTCCGCCGTGCCCCTCACTCCTCCTCTTTTCCCCCTACCACCGCACCCCTGCAGACTCTGCACATGGACGTCTGGGGCCCAGCCCCGGTCCATGGGCCGCGTCGCGAGCGCTTCTTCCTAGTGCTTGTCGACGACTTCACACGTTACACCACCGTCTTTCCCCTGGAGCGGAAGGCCGACGTGCCTGACATTCTCATCCCCTGGCTTGTCTCTGCTCGTCTCCACCGCGGTCTCCCTGCCTTGCGCCTCCACTCCGACCGGGGTGGCGAGTTCGCCTCAGGTGTCCTTGGTCGCTTCTGTCGTGCGGAGGGCATCACCCAGACGTTTACCCTGCCGGACTCCCCGCAGCAGAATGGGGTCGCTGAGCGACGCATCGGTTTGGTCATGGAGGTGGCTCGCACCTCCATGATCCACGCCGGTGCACCCCATTTTCTGTGGCCGTTCGCCGTGCGCTACGCCGCTCACCAGCTTAACCTGTGGCCGCACCCCCAGCGGCCGCAGGTTTCGCCGACCCTTCTGTGGACCGGGTCCCCTGGTGACGCGTCTGCGTTCCACGTCTGGGGCTGCCTTGCTCACGTTCGTGCCTCTGGCACGGACAAGCTCACTGCCCGCACCCTCCCCTGCGTCTTCCTCGGTTTCCCCCTTGACGCGTCCGACTGGCACTTCTACCACCCGTCGTCTCACCGTTTCTTTCACTCTCGCGACGTCACCTTTGACGAGTCCGTCTCCTTCTTCCGCCGCTTTCCCCACCGTGGTCCCCCGGTTACTCCCCCCCTGTTCCTGGTTCCTCCCTCCCTGGTGGCCCCTGCCCCTCCCCCCCCCCGCCCCCCCGTCCGGCCCCCTCTGGTGTGTCTCACGTCACCCCCCTCCCGTCGGTCGTTCCGGTCGACGAGTCTTCTGACTCTGGTAGTCCTTTGACGCAGTCCTCGCCGTCTGTCCCTCCCCCGGTGTCTCCTCCTCCACCGCCTCCGCAGCCGCCGTCGCCGCAGCTGCTGCAGCCGTCGTCTCCGCCGCCGCCGCCGTCAAGGCCGTCGCTGCAGCCGCCGCCGCCGCCGCCGCCGTCGTCGCTGCCGCTGTTTGTGGACTCTGGGGGTGCTGGAGTTGAGGTGGGTACTAGTCCCGGGGCTCGTGTCGTGGCTTGTCCCGGCGGGCCTGGGGGTGGTACCGGTGCTGGCGGTGTTTCGGGCTCTGGTGGTGTCCCTTCTGGGGGTGCCGGTGTGGAGGGTTCGGGAGGTAGCCGTCGCGCAGCTTGTGGCCCTGGCGTTGGTGTTGTGTCGCCGCAGCAGCAGTCCCCGCCGGTGTCCGCCCTCCGTCTGCTCGGCCTTCCGTCCCCTGACCCTGCGCCTGTTCCTCCCCGGCCGTCTCCCCCTCTTCCCGTCTACGGCCCTGTGTTCCCTCCGCCGGGCTCGTCCCCGGCTCGTTTTCCCCCTCGTTCCCCACCCGTGTCCCCTCCTCTGTCTCCTGACCCGACGCCGCCCTCTCACGTCTGGTCTCGCCGCCCCTCCCGTGCTCGTCTTGTCTCCCCCGTCCCGCGCACTCACCCTATGTTGCTCCGCTCCCACGCGTCTCGTCCTCCCCTCCTCCCGTCTCCTCCTCCGTCCTCTCTTGTCGTTACGTCTCCTCCTCTGTCTGACTACTTTCGTGCCGCTCGTCCTCTTGTTCCTCGGGTCCTTGCCTCTCTCGTTACCGACCC